AGCCGCCGCTCAGTTCTTCTGCGTTGTCTCTGGAGTGGACGGGATCGTGTGATGGAAGATGCATTTCCATCACGGAAACGTGCTCGGGGATTATGAACGGTGCTCGGGAAGATGAACCTCCTTTGCCGTTCGTGGCAGTGGTGGTCTTCATGCCCACGGGGCTTTCTGTGATCTGGGTGCACGGCCTAAAGGTATCCACAAAACGTCCCGTGTTTTTCCTTGTATGGGGAATATCTCCTGTGCCAGGATCACTCGGATGTCGGTTGACCAACTGTGAAAATGAGTGTTAAGAAATTTGGACTGCCAGCAGGAGAGAGGGATTGGGAGGGGGGCAGCAGCAAGCCATTTATCCCAGCCTTAAGGGGAGACAAAAATCATACAAATTAGATTTCTGGCAGATCTTATAACAAGAACACATTTTAACTTTCTGAGCAAAATTGCAGTATAAGGTCAAACTATATTGAATTAATTTGTTTCCTGATAAAAATGGTTCCTTACTTAAGACTGGCTTTTGCCTTGTCATTGTTCCTGTTTGGATTTATTTCAAAGATGAATGAGTAAAGGAAAAAAAATGTAATTTAAGGAATCTGTTTTTTTCCAGAATAGGATTCGATTCTCCTTTTTTTTTTTTTCTTTTAATTATTAATGTTAGAATCCCTTTAGTGAAAGTATGGGCTCCAGTGTTAGAATTTTTACGACCAATTAGTGTATAAAGTTTCCATACTGACGCATGTGCGTTTTCCGAAGCCTCATGGCACGCGGGACCACAGCTCTGCACCCGCTGAGGACTGGTCACCGCGGTGGTGGCAGCTGGAGCTTCGGGTAGGAACAGGGGGTCCCTCCTCCCTGCCTCCCCCTGCGGCACACGGTGTCTGGGCAGCAGTGCTGGCAGTGCCCTTTGCTCCGCTGGTGCCTTTTGGTTTAGAGGGTTTTACAGTGGGGTGCCAGCTGGGGGGACCCGGGGCTGGTCATCAGAAGTTGTGTTGGTGCCGGCGCTGCCGAGCACCAGCCACCCGCCCCCAGCTGGGACCTTGGGGGTGGGGGCACCCAGAGCAAGAGAACGCGTTAAGGGGGTTCACCAGGCAGGGTTGTCGTGTGTGCCAAGCTGGATTACGTGGTAGCGAGGGGGTACGGTGGGGTTTGGACATACATTGTATGTGGAATTATTTTTTATTATTTTTTGATGTGAATGGCTGCGGAATTGATGGATGTCCTTTTGTCCGAATAAAATTAGTGCATGAAGTTTGTTTTTACCACATCTAATTTAATGAAAAATTTAGAAACGGGTCGATTCTGAGTTTCTTGTTTAGTTTACGCAATTGCTGCAAAAGCGCATCAGTTTTCCTCAAAGACACAGTATTCCAGGTCTGGGGGAAGCACAGAGCTGGGGCTATTTTCCGTGCCACTAGCACGTTGCACTTTCAAAACAACTGGTATTCGCTCATGTTCAGCAACTTTTCAAGGAAACAGCATGTTTTAGAGTTCTGCTGCAGAAATGGATAGTTTGGAAAGCGAGGCACATGCCTGATGCTGGAATAGTCGAGTTGCTCTTGTCGTTATGTCATAACGTAGAGAAGCAGCTGAGGCTTTTCTCCTGCATCTGCACCATGTGTCGGGTTTGGTTTAGCTGGCGGCACGAGGAACGAAGATACACCTGTAGCTTCTAAGGCAATTGTGTCACTTCTCTTCCGCAGGGCCGATGTTCAAGGGAAAACTGCAAATATCTTCACCCGCCACCACACTTAAAAACGCAGCTGGAGATCAATGGACGCAATAACCTGATTCAGCAGAAGAACATGGCCATGCTGGCCCAGCAGATGCAGCTCGCCAACGCCATGATGCCTGGGGCCCCGCTGCAGCCTGTGGTACGTGCACTTCTTGGCTTCCACCGGCGAGTAGGATGCGTTGTAGCTAAAGTTAGTTAGCAGGCGTGCTGTAAAATCCCACAGACGTCGGTGGCTGGTGGAGAAATCAAACACAATGAAATGCTGGTGTGGATGTCGTTGTGCTGCCTAGTTCTCTCTTGCCTGAAGTAATATTGTTAATTTGATTAATTGTGTTAATCTTTTGTTAATTTAATTCAATTTTAATTTAGTTCTTTGCACGTTATTTCTTATTTCTGTAAAAAGAGACTGAGTGATCTGCGTGGGATTTTCATAAATAGATGTTTCCTTTGCAATTTCATGTGCTCTAGGAAATTCCTGGGTTTGAGAAGATTCCCACTGGATCTTTCCCATTCACTCAGGGGAACCTTCTCAGGGAATTACTTGCTGGAATTAGCCTTTGGTCTTTGCAGCACGTTATCAGGCAGAGCAGAAGGCTTGCCCTGGGTGATGTACGGTGCATGTCAATCTGACCTGCACGATCCACAGCTCAAGCTCGGCAGGAAGAAGGAGAAGTCCAGATAATCATACTTTCTGCATACAGCCAAGGGGTGGGGGAAGGAGAATCTATCAGAAGTCTCTCACGTGGTCGCAGTAGAGTGTGATCATATATCACATCCTAGCTGTTTCTCCTACACCTTAGTAAGCAAGCGCAGTGCGGTGTTCCACAAAGCCCAAGGCCGTGGCGGAGCTCCTCGCTCTGCAGTAATCCCTCGTTTCAGCACATGTAAAGATGATTGACATCAACCCGCCATGCACCTACGCGTCTGGGAGGTGAACACCCTGTGCCAGATCCCTCTCTAATGCAATCCAGAAAGGTCATTTGAGCTGACCTATGGATAAATTTGGCCGAGAACCCTTTCGATATAAATTTCCAGCTCAGACATTAGAGGGTACTGATTAATGTATGAGCAAGACTGGTACTGATTAATGTCTGAGGAAGGCTGGTATGTTCTACATTAGAAGGCAAACAATGCTCCCCTGGCTGAAGCTCTCCTTTCCAATGGGCAAAATGGCAGCAAAGGAAAAATTAAGTTGAAAAATATATATAAAATAAATATGTCTGCATTAGGACTTCTCTGACAGTTCTTTTCCTTCCTTCCTTGCTGGCAAAGGTAGAATTTAGGGAGTTGAATTTACCCCTAGATACCTTCTGTGGGAAACCTGTATTCACTCTGTTAGATGAGCTCTTCAGCTTTTGTTTTAAAAAACATGGTGACAATTAACACTCCTCAAAACGTACCTAAATCCTCAGGAAAAAGCATCTCAGCAGAAAGGACTCTCATCCTGTGCTGAATGCTTTTTGGCCCCATGTTTTGTGGGTCTACGGAATGCCAGTAGGTATTTTGTGGCGTGTTGGGTTCAGTTCCTATAACCATTATTCTCCCTCAGAGCTTTATGCCTCGGCTGTTTCAAGAAAAAGCGTACGTGGGGGAGAAAAGCAGAAAACGTTGCGGTAGGATCGCCGCAGTAAATTTCCTTTAGTACCTGTTGGCACAGCGTGAGCAGGTACCACGTTTTGGTTTCTCTGTGTGGATCGGCTTTTCTCGAAATCAACCCGTCCATATCGCCCAGGCGAGGCGCGGCGA